ATTTTTTTTAATCTCTTTTATATATTCTGCTTTTTAACAAAATTTTTGTCATTTTGATGGTAATCTTACGCCATAAATGAAAAATGTAAAAAGCTTGTTTAGTTACTACACTGTGTTAAGTGCTTTTCGCCACCTAATTCCCATTACTGTAATGCAAAAAGAATAAAGATGTGATGCTCTTCAGACTAAAACATAACGAGTGTTAACAGGACGGACAGATCATGTGTTCAGAGAAACTGATGTGATCAAACAGGCACAAACAGGGTTTATATGAACATTTTCCTCGAACACATAGAATCTAGCGAAGCGTTAGTTCTGGCAGGTCACGTTAGTCAAGCTCGCATCAGCTGACTCTCGGCTGATCCCCATCTACCTATGGGAATACGACACCTATTTAAGCATATATATATATATTGTGTGTGTGTGTGTGTGTGTGTGTGTGTGTGTGAGTGTGTAAAGCGCGTCTGGCGTGGCAAGAGCTCACCGATTCCCCCACAGAAGGTAATAAATCTCAGGCTCATCTCCTGCACTGAATACTGAACATTGTTCATTTGTCCTCATAAGCTTGAGCGAGAGCTATTTATTAAACAGAGGAACGGTGAGAGAGAGAGAAAGAGAGCGAGGCTTTCTGAAGGACACCTGTCCTCAGCACAGACACAATACTGACTGTATGCTAAATGTCAATCATCTTTGGTCCTGACAGAAATGCAGTTCAGTCTCCTCTAAAACACACACACACAGCTAATGCAGCCACATCGTTCTGATTAAGAGGAAGAACATTCTGCTGAGGGAAGAAAGAAAAAAAAAGGAGAAAAACTACCTGTTAGTAAAAAAAAAGAGGAAGAACAGAAACTGCAATCTGTTGCAAAACACTTACTGTAAATGCAAACGATCGCATTTCTTTTGGTGATGCAAGTCTCGCATTTTAAAAAGTTGCAAGTGCAGCATTCAGCCTGCTCTCGTTCATCACACCGTTTAAACCGGCTCTTTACACCTTTACTTAAAGAGTAACCTGAGGCCAACGCATCTCGAGTCACTTCCAACATCAGCATCATCATCACCAGTGACCGGCGCAAACACCATCTGTCAAGCGAGAGGCTGTTTCTGGTCGTCTCAGCGCTTTCACAGAATGCCTTAAAGACAAAAAACTCTCCCGTTCGTTCACCACAACTTCAATCACACGCTCGTTCGCTCTCAACCATCAGCAGATTTCACTCATGAGCTGGTTTAAGAGCAGGCCGAGCCAATGTTCAGTCCTGATCAGATTACAGCTCTCCAGCACTGCGCTTCAGACTCTAATTGCACAAATATCACAATTAGCTGGAACTGTTACTGGGAGATTTCCGGTTAATGATGTAAACAGGCTCTTAAAAGGGTTTAAATGGATTTACATGGTTACACAGATCTTACTAGCCAAAAAGCATTGTGGTACTGCTTGTCTGTATTCTTTGAAGCACCTTTGGTGTATATGAATATGATAATCACACAACAGCACCATAGACATGTTTCCACATCAGAATATTATTGTTTGTTTGTAATTTAATGCTGTGCCAGCTACTACAGCTTTTTTCATGCCAAAAAACATATGATATGGAAAACATGAACAAAAAAACGGTGAACTTCCATGAAAAATGAGGTTAAAATGTAGCAAGATATGATATAAAAAATAAACAAAAAAAAGTTTATCTTTAATGGAAAATCAGGTTAGAATTGAGCAAAATATGATATGAAAAAAAAGATCTTCCATTAGAAAATCAGGTTAAAATGTAGCAAGATATGATATGAAAAAATAATTTAAAAAAAGGTTATCTTTCATGGAAAATCAGGTTCAAATGTAGCAAGATATGATATAACAAACATAAATAAAAAATATCTTCCATACAATTCTGATTATGAAATTATATCATAATATAAAAAAACATAATGTATCTTGAATAATCAGGTTCATAGAAAAATATGATGTAAAAAGTTGAGATTCCATGAAAAAGTGGGTTAAAATGTAACAAAATATAATATTAAAAAAACACAATTTCAATAAAAAAATCAAGTTAAAATGTAGACAAATATGATATGAGAAACAATAAAATATGATCTTCCATGAAAAATCAGTTTAACGTAACAAAATATTAAAAAAATGATCTTAAATGAAAAATCAAGTTAAAATGTTGCAAAATATGATGCCAGTGTGCTATCATCTCACACTATCACTTTACCATGGTATCACTATAGTACTACCGTGAAAGCTGATTTAAAACATTTGTACAAGAACAAACAGTCTGCAATAAACACGCACGCACAAACAGCAGATGTGTTCTAACAAGATAGTGATCATAACAATCATAACATCTTCCCTAAAGAATGCAAAGATCGTGAATAACGCTTTAATAACGCTACCGAAACTGATTTTAAACACTTCAAACATCCTAAACCCGTTATATAGCTATTCTATCACATCGCTGCCGTTCGTGTCTGTGTAACAAAGCCATCCGTCTGAACGCTCTCCGTGCCTCGAAAGCTGCCCGGTTCCGCGCGCTCCGATGTGCCGTGTTGCCATGACGCCCCGGTGCACGGGCTCACGTCGAGCAAATATCAGCGGTTGATGAATCAGCATCTGCGCCCGTTAAAGCCGCTGATGTGATGATTCGCGCGGGGCGCTGATTTGAAATCGCGCCGATTTGGTGATTCGCGCGCGCGGGAACAGATTCCAACCGTCAACTGTCAATTACAAATGAAGCGATAAGCAACAAATGCTGAATAAAACTAGTTTCACCACACACACAAATACGTGAACACAAACATACTATTCTGTGAAGCATATTTATATCATAGTTATATCAAATGTAGTTATACTTTCTATAGCAAAAATGTGTTTTATTGACTCAAAACCTAGTGTGCTCCCTATCTAGGGAGCACGTTGGAACGATTCAGAACGAGACAGATGCCCAAAATGATGCATACCATCACACAATACCATGGTATTCCAAAAAAACCACCTGATACCATCACCGTACCATGGTACAGTTTTACTAGTGGTGTGAATGTGTAGCGTAAAACAGACAAAAGCGAGAAAGAGTACCTCGAACTCGGTCGACCCGTGTCCAGCGCAGACGGTTCTGATGAACCAGCAGGTTCGGTTCCTCACAGATCGGCTTGTGTTGCTGTGTAACCTCTGCCTGACTAGAGGAGACACACACACACACACACACTCTCTCTCTCTCTAAATATAACACGAGCCGAATCCAGCAGATTTCTGCAAACGTTTCAAATTGAAAGCGACGATCGGAGCCGACGAGAGCCGGTGAACGATCACAGATCGGGGTGTGTGAGTGTGTATCGATGAGCCCTTTGTCTGCTCGCTGTCATCACGGCGCTGTGTGTGTGTGTGTGTGTGTGAGTGGAATGACCCGATCGTGATGATTCAGCACTGCGAGCCCTTTAAAACACGCGTCCCGCTCGCGTCGCGTCGCCAGACAGACAGACGTTAAACGCGCACACATATGAGAACGCTGATGATACTTATAGTGAACAATGCATAAATTAGTGTAATATATTAACACAACTTCGTTATTATTGCTAGCTAGTTATATATACAGACTATAAGTAGTTAACTAAGTAGAAACAGGCGAGAAGTAAAAGCTAAAATCCACTAAATTAAACCAGAACTGATGCAAAAAATGAAACCAAAAAGCAAAACGCGGACTTTTTTCAAATTATTTTAATAAACATACACTTGATTTTTTTTATTAAATAACCAGAATAAATAAAAAAATTAATTAATTAATGTTTTTAATGCTATTATTCCTCGTGTGTTGAATGTATTTGTAAATAGCACTAAAAAACGGTGTCGTGCACACTCAGCAAAACACAACTGAGCGCAACTTCAGCGCGTTCGGAAGCACCGTGAAGAGCGACGCGCTTACCGAAGCAGCGGGAGACGGCGGCGGGTGGAACCGAGGAGAACCCGGCGGGAGTTTGTCGCTGTTGTCGGCGAATTTGTGCCCGTGTTGATCCTCTTTCTCTCGCGCTGAAGCCAGACGTCATATGATTTGCTTTGGTCACGTGGTTTCATTCATGAAGGAGCTACGCAACGCCAGCGCGACTCTTAAAGGAACAGGCGAAATTTACATGTAGCCTACATTTTAATACACAAGACAAAAAAACACATTAAGCACAACATATTTACAAATACTACAGAAAATGTTACTTAAATAAACGTGAGTATATTTGTTTCTAAGATACTTAGACTGGCGATATCGGAAACGCGCTGGAAACCTGCTGTTGCTATGGTTACACGCGCCTGCCCGTCTCCTTTTAAGAAAACTGTAAATTAGTATTCTTTAAGATTTGAGCTTATGGATATTTTTAAACTAGTAAAGTAATAAATACAACATTGTATTTATTGCCTTAAAAAATAGAGAATCCTGGATCATCACTACAGGCAAAAACTTTTCTTTTTTTTCATGCACCGGTCAGTTTTTAGATTTTGATTGACTTTTCACAACAGACTAGTGTAAAGAAAACATCCAAAACACACATTTAAGTGTTTATTTTATTGCACTTTATCTATTTGCATCTGTAGATTTCTATGCCAATATTTTTATATAAAGAGTTTTTTCTCCACTTCTGCAGCACTTACAAACACCAAACTTTAGAGTTTTATTCCTCTCTATATTCTGAAGGTTTTTGCTGAGGGGTTTGTTCATATATCATTCACACTGATTTATACAACATTTTATTCTTAAAAAAAGGGAAATCCAAAATCCCTTCTGAAAAACCTTTTACTCTAGTAAGTCAACAAAATAAAATTAAAATTTGAATCTGGCTTTATCCAATGTTCAAATGTATGTTCTAGGAATTAATGCAAATTAGTGCATATTTAATGAGACAATGTGTCATTTGCCTATTTGAGCAACTTTTCAGAAAACTTGTAATACAAAAAATAAAGTTTGTAATTGATTTCTATTAGTTAAAAATTGACCCTATTCACCTGGAGTGTCTTGCCTTAAATACCAGCACATGAAACGCTAAAGCAGAACATTCAATCCAATTCATGTTTATTGAATAATGCATTTGATGAGATATAACTGGAGTACAAGGTTATGAAAAACATTATGTGAATGCTTGGCTAAAGAGATGTCTTTAATCTAGATTTAAACAGAAGGAGTGTGTCTGAACCCCGAACGTTATCAGGAAGGCTATTAAAGGGATAGTTCACCCAAAAATAAAAAATTGATGTTATCTGCTTACCCCCAGGGCATCCAAGATGCAGGTGACTTTGTTTCTTCAGTAGAACACAAACTGAGATTTTTAACTCAAACCGTTGCAGTCTGTCAGTCATATAATGGAAGTGGATGGGAATCACGGCTTTGAGTGTCAAAAAAACATACACAAACAAAACCAAATTAAACCCTGCGGCTCGTGACGATACATTGATGTGTAAAGACACGAAACGATCGGTTTGTGCAAGAAACTGAACAGTATTTATATTGTTTTTTACCTTTGATTCACGCAATGTCTGAACTGTCCTGAGCGCGTCCTGAGCGCGTTTAAAAATCTTTGTTTGTGTTCTACTGAAGAAACAAAGTCACCTACATCTTGGATGCCCTGGGGGTAAGCAGATAAACATCACATTTTCATTTTTGGGTGAACTATCCCTTTAATACTACAGTGCTTTAAAACAAATTGAAATATGAGTATTTATGAAAGACAAACAGGCGTAGGGCTAAACCGGTCCGGGATGGAGATCTGAGGTGAAGCAGCATTGACCTGCATCAGAAGTGCATGGGTTGTTCACACTGGAGCCGTGGTCCACAGGAGGAAGCTGACGTGATGATTCACTGCGGTTTAGACAAACCGTCAGAACCAGAGCCCATCTTCCTCTTTCTCTCCGCAGCCGCCAGCTGTACGGCAATGATCAAATATATCCGTTCAAACACGCACTTCTCTGTTCACACTCCTGCCCAGCAGCTCTTTTCAGAGAAGCTCCGACACAAATAAAGAGCTGAAATGCATCTGCTGCACGTAAGGTGGTTTTGAGTGAACATCAAGATGGATTTGTGGTATCTAATGGACACTTCCAGACAGCGCTCGGGAAAGACGGCTTAGATGTGTGTTGATTCTGTGCCAGATGTCAATTAGATGAAATCAGCATTGGTGTCACAATGGTTTTCTCAAAATATGTTGTTTTAAAAACCTGTATTTCATCTGAGCTACACTTTTCTGTACAACAAAAACAGAAAAGCTGAAAAAGGACAGAAAAGAAACATAAAAGTAGTTTATATTAAAACATTTTTTCATTTTTTGAACATTCAGAAATAATGTTTCTAGAACTCAACAGTGAAACGTTCTTTGATTATCATTGATATAATGTTTTAGAACATTTTAGTTGGACATTCTTCTAGAATTTTTCGAATGTTACTACTTGTTTCGGAATGTTCAGAACAATCAAAAGTAACATTCGCAAAATGCTTAAAATGGAATGTTTCTTCATTGTTCACATAACCACAAAAAATAAATAATAAATCAATAAAAACATTTACAAATCTATACACAGTTTGAACATTCAAAAATAACATTACAATTAACATTATAAAAAACATTTTTATTAGCTGGAGTATTAGACATTCATCTAATGTTTTTTTTTTAATGTTATTACTGGTTTCAAAATATTAATAGAACATTCAAATGTAAAGTTTCGATAATGTTTGCAAAATTATAAAATGGAATTTATAAACCGGAGAGTTCCGGTGCTTGATTCTGATTGGCTGAGCCACGTTTGAAGCTGCTGTAAATGACTCTACAAAGTAACATACACCTTTGTTTACGTTTGTCTGTTGCTCGGCAACCACTTTGTTGCAACCACAACTGTTTCTGAGGAGCTACATTGTTTGGTGGAAGAATACTGTTTTTATTAATATCATTACACTTTATTTGCTC